GTAAAAGTATAGTATGTTTCTTCTCAGCTTTGCAGAGCAAAACCAGGATGATACACAAAAATAAATTTGAAGACATTTCTCTGTCGATAACATCAACAAAATCTATGTTTATTTTTGGCCATAATGACATGCAACCTTCAAACTTCTACCCTAGCTCATAGATATTAGTATATGCAACTCAAAAGCTAGAACAATACCTACCAATTCAAATAGAGTATCATTTATCTACAAACAATATGCACCTTCTTAAAGACCATCATATTTATTGCAGTATAGTCTTTCATGCGTTACAATTCCTTTTGTCAGATGCAACTTATCTGCTTTGGATCATCTATCACAGGCAACTGTCTTTGTAACTGAACTGTTTATTCTTAAAATGTTAGTTGACAAATAAAACTATCGTGATTCGGATTTGTTAGTTCTGAGGAAAAGAAATAATTGAAGATTTGGTCGCTCCATAGCAAATATTTATCATACAAAATTCATATCTGTAATATGATCATCAAGAATAATATTTCTTATTCTAATGAAATTATTATAAAACAGTCTCAAGTCTTGGGAGAAATATTGTTATATTTATAAAAGTTTATTCTGCTGTAGTTTTAGTTTAACTTTTGTACGGGCAATGGTTTTTGATAAAAAGATGATATTATATGTATATGTCATAAAAATCAAATACTTTAGCTAAGAAAAAGACAATATAATACAGTATACACTAGTAAACATACAGCATTCTTACAGTTGTTAAGAATAAAATGACAAGGCTAACTATAAAGCTGTAAACAAAAACAGATACTTTATACTAAATCAGGTAATTTTTTTATTTACCTCCTATGGTCAGCAATTTCCATGATTTCAACAGATTATCATAAAAAGAAAAAGAAGCCAAAGCAAAATGTTTTCTAAATAAAAATATTTTTAATATAATATAAACATTTTGTTTATTTAATTCACTACTGCTGCTACTTCTGTTTAGTTAATCAATCCACTTCAAATTATTTTGGAACAGCTTCCATATTATTATTAAATGGGCTTTAGAATGGCAACTTGACTTCAGTCCTTTCTTCTCCTAAATGCATCTCACCAGACCTCCAGAGCAACTTTTACAAATAGAGATGAGCAAGGGTACAGAATGAGGAATAATGAAGGAAACTGTTTCATGCAATTCCTTTCAATTTATTAAATATATCACTCCTACTGAAGGAAATATTGTCATAAACTTGTCCCCAATTAAACATATTAAGAAAAAAATCCAATTTATTCTTTAAATATTGCACAATATCACACGTTCCAAAAGATGAATTCTCATAGTCAGGGAACCGTCCTTAAAATATTGCCTGAGAATATATCCAGTATAAAACTGAACTGGAAGGAAGCAAAAAGTCCTTCTTAGAAGAGAAGCCCATTAAAGCAAAAGGTAAAGATGCAAAGTACACATATTGCTTCCTCCTTTTTAAAATAAATGTTTGAGGTAGATAAGATTTAATTTATACCTTGAAAAAGATGACTGCTGCATAAAAGAATGGGTGGAACCAGCATGTATGTGTGAGCTGACACACAGAATATATTCAAATATGAAAATAAGACATCAGAGTTATTCAATATGTGCCTGGAATATAAGTGACTAATATAAGAATGCAGTACAAGAGCCAACTTGCCTACCATGCCTCCTAGATCTGTGGAATTAAAACAAAAGCAACAATTGCATTCACTGGATTGAACCAGAGTGCTATAAATATTGCCATTCCACAAAGTTATGCTCACGATAATTCAAAATCTCCATTTGTAATTCAAATCTAAGATTAGACATTGACAGTGAGCAGCTTTATGATTGACATGCACAAACTACTGTCCAAATAATGGCTGTAGAAACAAAATCACCAGCATAAAAAATGAAATCACAAAACTGATCATACATATTTAATTATTAAAAGTAGATTATTTGAAGCAAAATTTGTTAGCCATACCTGCCAGCTTAAAAAACTCTTCCTGAGGAATATGGTTCAGGCTCTAAGTTACTCTAATTCAATCAACACTGTCAATGGTCCATCACCCTACCCCCATTGCATCTTCAGTCACTTTCAACAAGGTTCTGGAGAGTTTTTCAGTGGACTTAGAAGCCTGCAGGGAGTGGATTGAAATCTTTCCTTACATTAAGTGAACTTTGTTCTGCTAAAAAATTGCCATATTTTTAAGCTGTTGATAATTACATCCAAACAATGAAAAAAGTTTCACATTTATTTTAAAAACTGTCAGTTTAATATTAAGTATTTTTTCCTTAATGGATTTTTTAAAAAGTATTTACTGTAGAAAAAGCTTAGTATAGTTTTTTTAAAAACTATATTAGTCATAGCATAGGAAGGCCATATTAAGTTCTTAGTCACTGATAAAGTTTTCTAGTAAGCAGTAAATAAATTACTAGCTTCTTACTGACATTAATAGAATAAAATAAAACAGCTTAGTATCACTAACTGGCAGCTAATCACCAGATCAAATGATGGAAGGGTGAAACTGCTGGGTTATGAATGTTTATGGAAACAGGAAAAGTTTAAATAGATGAAGAAGGCATGCATATATACATGGCAATTTGTAACACTGAAAGATCAGTCCATTAATTCATGGAATTCAAACAGTTGACATATAAATAGTTAATCTTTGTTCATACCATCATCAATGACCCAATTATGAATCTAATATTTTAGGATTATCCAGGAAACACATGATAAATTAGACTACAATTCTAAATATACTTCATTTCCCACACTTTGAAGGAAAGGAACAATATTAAATAAGAGTCATTGGGAATCAGGGGTATTATATAATAATTTAAAAGCATTTGGTCTTGATGAAATTCCTATGTTAAGTCATGCTCACCACTCTCTATAAAACAGCAGTGGAAGATTCCAAAATTATTGAAGTCATATTTTTAGAATTTGTTTTCTAAATATATTTTCAGTTATCAAACTGAAGCCTTTAGGGCAGGCACGTCAAACTCATGTGACATCATGCGATGTATCGTGACTTTTTCCCCATTGCTGGCAATGGGGTGGGTGCAGTTTCGTCGTGACGCATCTGGCCCGCAGGCCAGCAGTTTGACATGCCTGCTTTAGGGTGAAGAAAATCATATATTATATGAAAAATCCAAACTACCACTTAATTGAAATGTGTGAACTTTTATTTACAGACAGCCCCACACATTTCTATTTTTAATGAGCACAGACAGTAGAAAAAAAAACAAAAAATAACTTCGCAATACTTAGTGAAAGAGAACGGGTCTATGCTCCAAGAACTTTTTTCAGTTTGTTTATTCTAAGCAGTGATTAAAAATTGACATCACTAATTTTGATAGCTACTTACATTCAAGAGAAATCCATTATTTTACTATATCATGTAAAAATAGCCCAACACACATTATTCTATAGATTATGAATTTTTATAGTGTTTTTAAATTCAGGGCCTAGAAAAATACAATTTACCAAAGCAGCATCAAATAAAAAGCATTTCTTACCTTAAATACTTTGCCAAAAGCACCATCACCCAATTCTCCTATAATTTCCCAAAAGTCCTCTGGATTCAAATCTCTTTTGACATGCTCATACTGTTTCTTTTTCTTTTCACCACCCAACTTGAAGATCTTACGGAAGTTAAAGAAGGACATATTTGCCCTTTTTAGTTCAAAAACTATTTTAAAACTCTTCAGAAAAAAATAAAGCAATTGTTCTCTCTGTTGTTTGGTCTAAAAGAAAAACAGTACAAAATTGTGACCTCTGTGCTATGTGTCAGTAACGATGCTAAGAAAGGAACAGATAAGAACAATTTGCAGTCTATATTTTCGATTCAGCACACAATAATCCAACGTCAATCAGAGCCAGTAGCAGCCACATGCAGTTTCTCACATGCAGTTTTTCCTGAAGTTTATCACTGTAGGTTTAGCAACCTAATACTCATATAATTAGCACTAAGTTCTTCTGATCACTCAGTGCATATGACCAGGCTCCAGAGACACTATCCAAAAAGATGTGTTGATCGTTAACAGTCTGAAAACTGGAGAGTGAAAAAAAATGCCCACTTGATTCTTCACGATGAAGGATGCAATATTAAATGGCGAGCATGTGTGCAAATAGCAGACAGCTGTATTCAAGTCCTACCCCTTATTCAACAGCACAGACTACTAACATCGCGTCAGATGCAACTCTCCTTTCCTTGGTGGTTGAAAACTTCAGCAATCCACGAGAACGGAAAATATGCATCTTCTTTCCTACACTAGCACGAGACTTGCCTTCAAGAGCATTGTGTCTATTGGGAGAAAGGCAAGAGAAAAAGTATAAGTGGAATAAGAAGATACTCAACAATATTTTACATATATATTAATTTTTTAATATGTATATTAAAAAGGAAATGAAAAGTTATTTCCTATGGAAAAAATGGACTTACATGAAAAAGCCTCCTCCCCCCCTCCCGTTCCCCTCCCTCCCCTTCTTCGTTGGAGAAAGATGGAAGAAAAACAGGTTGGGAGCAAAATAGTTTTTTTAGGAAAAGCAGCAGACCTCAATGGTGGAAACTGCTTGTCTTTTCCAACAAATGGGGGAGGGAAAGAGGAGGATGAGAAACTCACCAGCCGAGACGGATTTTCGTCTCCCCGCCGCGGCAGAGACGATGGGGAGGATGACGCCCGCAGCCTTAAGCGTTCTTACTTCCTGTGCCTTCCCCACTCCCTCAGACAGGGGGGCGGAGCACAGGAAGAAGGCTCGGTGGTCTTGCTTCCTTTGCCTCCCCCTCCCTTGCTCTTGTTCTATCAAACGCTCTCTCGCGCGCGCGCGCACGCAAGCAAACGCCCCTGGAATTGCTCCCAGCGCTTTCGCCCACACCCCACGCGGCGCCGCCTCCTCTCCCTAGCGAGCTACGCAGGCGCTCTGGCACTCCAGTTCCCTCGAATGCGTCTTTCCCCAAGCTTTCATCCTTTCGCTGTAATTCCCTCCTTCGGTTCTAACCACCGGATATTACCACAGCAAAAGGCGGGACAGAAAAAAAAACAAAAACAAAAGATGAAATCTCTTCCGGTTTCTCTATGCTAGCTCGTCCTGTCCGAGACCGGGCCGCCTCCGTGAACAAGCCAATGAGAGCGCGCCGGTCCCTTTGGCGGGTAAGACAGGCCGTGTTTAGAATTGGGGTCAGAGGAGGGCTGGCTGGGGGGTGACTGGGAGTGGAAGCGCGAGGAGGTCCTGGTATGGTTTCCCCGCTACCGAAAGCCGTGTTTTTTTCGGTTTATTTAGGCGCTTCCTCTGTAACACGGCAGGACGAGAAAAGCAGAGCAAAACGTTTAAACTGGTGTGCTGGGCTGGGAATTTGAGACTTAATGATCACTTTCTTTAAACTGAGAATGCTTGAATGAATACAGTTAGTCGTGACAGTTTTGCCGGCAGATCTGCAGTTTAGCCCTCAGTACTCCCCTAGTAGAGCCACATAACGGGGGATAATGTTTCCTGTTATGAAAACGGGATTTAAAACATTAAAATCGGTTCGAGATGAAATACATTTTACCTTGCCAATGTTTACATGAAAAAGTGTGTCATATATACGTGTGAGTTATGGTAGTCATGAATAAAATCTTGTCTCGGATTGATGAAGCTGTGTATAAGAATTACATTAGCCTACAGGTAGTCCTCAACTTACAACAATTTATTTAGTGACCATTCAAAGTTACAACGGCACTAAAAACAATGAGTTATGATCGTTTTTCAGTTACAACCTTTGCCGTATCCCCATGATCATGTGATCAAAATTTAGATGCAGCTGGCAACTGGTTTATACTTATGACATTTGCAGTTTCCCAGGGTCATGTGATAATTTTTTGCAGCCTTCTGACAAGCAAAGTCAATAGGGAAACCAGATTCACTTAACAGGTTACTAACTTATCAACTGAAGTGATTCACTTAACAACTGTAGCAAGAAATGTAAAATGGAGTGAAACTCACTTAAATTCTCACTTAACAACATAAAGTTTGGGCTCAATTGTCGTTCATCAAGGACTACCTGTATATACTTTTTAAAGAGCAAAAGCTCTTTGTGCCTGGATGTTGATTCAAAAGCAAGTGCTGCTGATCTCAAAAGTGCTTTGCTTGAGTACATATAGTTTCAACCTTCATGAAACATTGTAACAATACTTTGGTTATTTAAAGGCTTACATTGAGCGAAAGGAATGTTCAAAGCTACTTATTCTAGAAGAACAATTATGGCTGCTGCTTCTATTCTTGGTCTAAAGCAAAAATGCTAGATTACTGTTATCACCTGTTTGCAAATGTCTATGAAGATTCTCAGTCATCCAGGTCATAGTTACCCCAAAGATGCTTTTTTCACAAGGCAACTGGACTTTGTTTTTTCTTTGAAGACGTTTGTTTCACTTCTCATCCAAGAAGCTTCTTCATGACACCTGTTTGGGACACCTGTTTGCAAATTCAGAGTAGTTTCATTGCCATTACTGATTTTGTTGTACATGTTATATAGCATCCCATTTTTCACGAATAAGGTTATTAAATCCATGTCTTATAATTGAAATTCTTTCATTTTTATTTGAGAACTGGAGATTTTTGTTCTGCTTTAGAGGTGTTTTTTTAAGCCTCTATTTCTGACTGCTACATTTCCCAGTTTATTCCTGAGCTTAGTTCTCTTATTAAATTCTGCTTACCCTTGGAGATGCCAGTTTCTCATGTCTTAATCTTGGAAAACATAGTTGTTCACAAGTTTCAGACTACTAAGGAGAATATTAAGTATTTGTCCATCTTTCTAAGTAGACTTTCTTTTATAACTTATTCTGATTTCAAAAGCATATTTTACTTTTAGCTTCAGTTTAAAGGGTATTAATCTTGTACAGTCCCTGTACATGCTCATTTAGCTATCAATAAAAGAAGCCTCAATTTTTCATCTGTTTGCTCGCTCTGACCTGGGAATCATTCTTCCTTCCTTCTTTTTTTTTTTTTATTGAAAATTTTTATTTTTTTAAAACATACAATCATTTATAAAAATACAATAAAATTTTAAAATAGAGAACCCCCCCCTTACCCTCCCTCCCACCCCCACCCCCCCTCCCTTCACTTCCCAGAGCAGAATACAGGGTTAAGAAAAAAAAAGAAAAAGAAAATTATAATAATTAAAAAAAAGAAAAAAAAGAGAAAGAAAAAAAAATATCATAATTAACCTTTAACTCCATAACTTATAAAACAATTCTCTATAATATTTGATATTCATTCATAAAATAAATAAAACTTTTTAATTCCATATTTTTTCTGAATATAATCTATCCACCTTCCCCATACAGTAATATATCTTTCTTGTGTATGATCCTTTAAATAAGCAGAAATTTTTGCCATTTCTGCAAAACTAGATACTTTAAATATCCATTCTTCTAAAGTAGGCAAAGAATCTTTCTTCCAATATAAACCTACTAATAACCTTGCTGCAGTTAATAAATTCAACATCAAAGTAGTTTCTTTTTCATTTAAGTCAACAAAAATACCAAGTAAAAATAGTTGAGGAGTAAACTTTATCTTCTTTCTAAAAATCTTTTGAATGTTCCACCAAATCATAATCCAAAAAGCCTTTACTTTTTTACAATTCCACCAAATATGAAAGTATGTCGCATCATTATTGCCACATCTCCAACATTTGGGCTGTATGTTGGAATACATACAAGATAATTTTTTAGGATCTAAATGCCATCTATAAAACATTTTATAAAAATTTTCTCTCAAATTTTGAGCTTGTGTAAATTTAACATTTCTTATCCAAATTATCTCCCATAAATCCAATGAGATCGGCTCCTGTATATTCTGAGCCCATTTAATCATACAATCTTTAACCAATTCTGTTTCCGAATCTAACTCTAATAAAACATTATATATTCTTTTTATATGAGCCGGACCTTGGTTTTTAATCTGAATAACCAATTGTCTATCTTCTAGTGTTATTCCCTCTTTCTTGTCTACAGTCCATCTATCCATTATTTGTAAATATTGAAACCATGACTGTAGAATATTTTGCTGCCTTAATACATCTAGGGATTTCAAATGCCAATTCGAACCAGAACAAATTAACAATTCTTTATATGAAATTTTATCAAAATTTGTCCCCTTAGAGGTTCCCTCAATTGCATGTCTGGGAATCCCCCAGATAGGTATTTTATAATTTAATCTATAATAATACTTCTTCCAAACACGAAGTAAGGCATTCCTCAAAATATGTGATTTAAAAGTCCGATCAACTTTCTTATTAAAAATTAAATATGCATGCCAACCATATATTAAATCCCAACCTTCCAAAAAAAGAATATCCATATTTGTTAAATTAAGCCAATCACTTAACCAAGTTAGGGCGGCTGCATCATAATATAATTTCAAATTGGGTGCCTTAAGTCCCCCTCTTTCTCGAGCATCCTGTAATATCTTAAATTTAACCCTTGGTTTCTTCCCGGCCCATATAAAATTATTGATACCCTTTTGCCATTCCTCCAAATTTGCCTCTTTTTTAAGAATAGGTATCATCTGAAACACTTCCTTCCTTCTTGATGGAAATTTTTTTTAAATGAAAATTGCCAATACTATAATAATGATATGGCATTACCAATGTTAATTTAAAAAATCTCAATAGTGTAGATAAATCTGCAGTTTTCTCTGAACAATTTAAGGAATCCAGCCAACTGAGCAATATAAAGTTGTAGAAGAAAGTTCATAAGAATAGATTGCTGGGAGGAAACAAACATCTTTGCTGACTTGCAAAAAGATGGGCAGTTTTTCATGTGAAGGCAGTAGAAAAAATAACTTTTTGAATAGAAACATTATTATGCAGTTTTGTTCTAAATACTGTTATGTATCATTTGCAGACAAAATAAATAATGTGAAATTGGGATAGTCCTGCTGCTTTGTTATGAACATAGTTTCTTTTTCATTCAGTTTGATCTGATGAATCTCATTTGTTCACTCATTTGGTAAAGTGATATTTTTTTTTTTACAAATTAAGTTAGTCCAGATATATTTAAAGCAGATCATATGCTACAGTAGCCTAATTTGAGTTCATGTTTGTGAATTCTGTAACAAATTCATTCAACTGCTGTAGAAATTAGATCCTTGTATTAATACTGAAACTTAAAAAACAGTGGGTTAAACAGCTATGCGGGGGAACCAATTTAAGATCTCGTTCTTAAAAAGGAGTAAGCTGATCCTGTTTGGCAATTAGTAATTTGGCAATTATGGAAGACGGTTTAAGTTAAAGCATACAATTTTTCTGTCTTTTTTCCCCCCTGCAGTGGTGTTTTATATGTCAGTGAGGTATCAGTCTTACAGATACTTAGTTAAATTAAGCTCCACTAAATACAATTGAACTCAAATCTCCAGAGGCTTGCTTAATAAGTGTATACAATGTTAATTTTTCTTGCATAGTAACAATAATTTTAATATTGTTTCTTTAGTAGAAATAATACATTGTTATCATTTTATGAAAATGGCAATTATAAGTAAAAATACTTTGAAAACCAGTGAAATTGATCTTTTAGTTCATAGAAAGTAAGCAGCTTATTACTAACTTGTCAGATAAAGCAATTAAATAGCCCTCCTAGAGATAAAATGTCAGCTGAGTTCTTAATTGTAGTTGTACTTCATGTGATAAGCTCTTTTTGCAGAGATTATTAGAAACACAAATCTTCCTAGTGTTTTGATGAGGAAAGAGAATGAAAACAGAATTTCAAATACTGTAGTCTTAAAGTAGATGAGGCAAACATAGTTAGACATCAGTATACAGTATCTGAAATGTTCTCTGATATTTACATTAAAATTTCTCTTAAAGAATAGTTGGCTGGATAAACAGTAGTCTTAAGTATTTTTTATTAATATATGTTTGTGCATGCATACTATTTGATCTAGACTCAGCAAAGCAAACATGTACAGTATTTCTGAGCTTTTTAATTGTACTGTCAACTAAATCTTCACATGATTTCTCAAGAGTTAATCCTGCTGACCTCCTATTAAGGGTATTTGGGACTGTACTCTTAGTAATGCAATCATATTAAGATTAAGGTGTGTATCAATTAGACACAATTGTGTTGCTATAATTTAAAATAGAATATATTCTATATTATACCATAAAGTCAAGGTTTTATTTTTGGTTTATATACTATATTTCTATATTGTTCAGTGTTGGTGAGCTTGAATGCTACCTCTGTAAGAAAGACAGAAAATGTTATACGTGAAATGTATTAATTATTAATTATAAAAACATGTGAGACAGCTTATTAAACCCCTTAGTCAGAATCAATATTATCATATTAATATTAATTATTGTTTTTCAGTACAGTAGGTAATATTACAGGCACATGTCAATGTATCTTAAAATGAGCTGTGAAGTATGATTGATCAGTGCTTTGAATTGAAAGACAAAAGCTTTTCAGACAGCATGGGGTGAGCATGCAGCACCTGTTTTCTGTTTCTTAAAGTCTGAATGTGTTTCCTCAGGAGGAGAAAAGGTAGCTGTACAGTCATGTGCAAATTGGACTGTATGGCCCTCATAATCCCAGTGCACTCTTTGCCTCCAGATACGAAGTACTGTGCAAATCTGTTCTGTGATAGGAACAGAAGGTAGCTTGTAGGAGTTACTATAGGAGCTTCTGTGCAACTTTACTTCACATAATATCTCTGATTTTTTAAATCTGATAGTGTTTCTTTTTTTCTGTTGCTGAAAAATAAAACAAGCATGAATGTCACTTCAAAGGGGTCAAAAGAAGATTGTGTAGCAAATACAGAACATGCTGAGGTTCAGCTAATTAAGAGAAAAAACTTCCAGAGAATGAAACTACAGGAGTCATCCTTTAATGATTGATGTTAATTGCTCTATTAATGTCACTGGAAGAGAGGAAGTGTACCTTGATCTAGCATGAAGGACAGGTCATATTGGCAAAGTATGTTTTGACCTATCTGCAGTTCTTATCTAAATTTTATATTATATTCCATCTTTTCATTTACACCCCCAATTTCATGATCCTTATTATTGCTGATATTAAACTTTCCATCCATAAGTGCAAAAGTATGAACTTGCATATTCATGTTTTCTCTATAGAGGCTGTATTAGGCATAGGAGAGTAGATAGGTAAGCTTGTGTGAAACCTCATATGGATGTATTGTTTTGATAATGCTTAATTAAAATATATTTTAATGGAGGCCTGCAGATATTTTCTACTTCTAAGCACCATTTTGGAACTGCTATTGAACATGGAAGCCAGCCATACTAAACCTATTGAACATGGAAGCCAGCCATACTAAACACACATGTGCTGAAACTGAATGGCTAGGCCAAGTGAAAGGTTTCAGCTAGAGGCATTGGAAAAAAGCAGCTTGTTTTGTTCTGCATTATATAAAGCCAGGGTTAGCTGTTGTTTGATAGCTCTCCCTGGTCCTATTTGCCTTTCTTAGCTATGTATGTATGCTTGACACTGTCTAACATAGTTTCCCTTTCAGAAATCATGCTAAGTCTTCTGGATCTTAATTGTGTGTGTTTATACTTCCTTAATAGGCCTTCCCATTAATTTTTTCAGAAGGTGAACCAACCACTATGGAGTTAATTATATCCACTTTAAAACTTGAATTCCAAGTTTTGTTTTTAAACATTCTTGCAAATGACTTCAGTAAAAGACTATTAATACTAGTAGATATTTTTAATATCATACAATACTTTTAAACTTTTATAATGATAAACCTCCAAAAAAAAGCTAAAGACAGTCAGAATATTAATTAATGGAAGAAGTAAAAATAGGTGCTCTCCCCCTATTGAAATAACGAAACAAGAGAAACCAAATGGGAACTGCCTAAATTCTCAAATAGCTGTCTTTTTATCTATATTCTAAAACAACAGAATTTTAGGAGCTGATGGATTTAATTTTGTTCCCTGTAATATGTGTAATTCCGAAAAGGTATCCTACTTATTAATACATGCCAGAATTTATAAGTTTGCGTAAACTGCTATAAGCCTTCAAGTGATGGTTGAGGGCCTATGTGGAGAAACATGTAGAAATTTTGCATTTGACTACTCCCAATTTAAAGTATGTCCTTTTTATTTTCCAGATTCCGTATCATAATAGTAAAGTTTTTACATAATTAGATATAATATTTTTGTAAGATAGCATTTTTTCAGTTTTTTTTGTTGATTGTAGTCTATTTCAGTTCACATCCTATGATATATTTATTTGTGCAGAGCACAATTAAAATTATGCTACATCTGAAGGTTTATATTACATATGCTTTGCTTCCATCAGACTTATTTCATAACAACTTTAATCTATTCTTGGAGCTAAATCTTTTTGGAATGTCTGCTGCAGCTACAGAATCAGAAGACGAGGTTCCATCACTTTTGTGGGGTTTGAATCCCATCTTTTCATGCTTTGCAAGACTATACATTAAAGACATATTAGAAATGAAAGAGTCTAAACAGGTTCCAGGTAAGTAGTGAAATTGCTATGAACTTGATAACAATAGTATAGCTTGTTTTACTAAAAATCAAGCAATATTATGTTTTGGTGGATATTCTTGACTACAAATTGTCTCTATTCTTTTAGCACTTCCATTAATGTGCTGAAATCTCTTCCTTTTCATTCCAACTTTGTATTACTTTCAGAGAATTCAAACTAGAATCTTTTCATTTGTTTGGAACATAATGAAGGAACAACTTGAATCTAATATAACTGTGGAAAAATAATTAGATGTATCTGTAGTTATTTAAAATAATTCATTGGTGCTTTCTGGTAATATTTTAAATTAACAGTTTTTAATCAATATAAAATATAAAAGTATATATTTGATTCTGTTCTATTCTTTGTGTTTCTAAATCTACTTTATCTATTTCTTGAACCTTATAAGAATTAATTATATAAAGTTGCTTTCTTCCATTGATTCTTTGATGTGAGTCTTTCCAAAGTATTGATTAATTGTGCAACATATGTGGTGTTATAATTTTTCTTGCACTAAAAACTCTGTGTCTTGATGTACATGTAGGTAAGGGCATGGCTTTTAATTAAATGAAGTCTTTGTTTTAATGCTGTCTGATTGCTATAACTATACAATCAATAGTATAGACCAGACATGTCAAACTTGTGATGTCATGTGATGTCACGCGATGCATCGGAGCTTTTTCCCCATTGCTGGCAATGAGGTGGGGTTTCCTCGTGATGCATCCAGCCCGCGGGCCATCAGTTTGACACCCATGGTATAGACTATGGTCTAGATTGTATAGTTACTATACAGCAAAGAAAAAACTACTGTATAACAGCTTTTTTGTGTTTTTGTATATAACCTTGAATATTTTAAACATTGGAAAAAATGTTAAATTAAACAAAAAAGGACTGGCCCAGTCTTTTTGCCAATAATATGCTTATTTGATTTCCTATTTTTCACCAGCCTAAAAATAATCATTGGATACTTTTCATGCAAACTTCCTGACCTTCCATCTCTTCACAAATGGAATAGTGAATCAGACTATGAAAATAAAATGTTTGTAATTATAGTACTATATAACTAAGGGTGTGGCATTTTCTAGTCATTAGTTGGGGTGGCAAGTTTGTCATCCAGATAAGAATGAATCTTTGTTTTTACATGGCAGAAAAGAAAGTTTGTAGAATATAAAACAGCTGCCATTTAAGTGAGTTCCATATTAATTTTACCAAAGTTTAATTGAATTTCATTGTCTTTAATTACAAAATAAATTTAAAACATTTGAATTAAATATAACATATTTGTTGTAGTCAAACTAATGCATCAAAATATTTTAAAACTGTACTTTGATCAATTGTTTTATATCACTGGTCATAATCTTTTGAATTTCTTGATCAGGATATGTGAAATTGTTATTAAAATTAACATTAGTTGATTAAGAATAAAATGTTAGTAGTTTTGGGGATTAAGACAACATTTTTTAAAGGACTAAATCTTGGACTATATATACACTTTTCATTTTTCGTTTTTTCTAAGGTATTTTCTTTTATAACAGACATCCAATAAGACAAGTGGATATTTTTGGTACAGTGGTATTAATAAAAGAAAAAGATTCCTTTTATATTTATGGAGGTAATTGATAATTCAAAATGTTTGTTTTAGTTTTATTTTCATTTTTAGAAAGATTAATATTCTGAATATTAATTTAGAATTCTATAGAATCAATATTTCTAGAGAAAGTTTTCTTTAATTATATGTAATATATATGTGTCAGTCCCTCTAGGGTAGGGGTGTCAAACTCGCAACGTCACGTGACGTGTCGTGACATATCACAACTTTTTTTCCATTGTCAGCAATGGGGTGGGCACGGTTTCGCCATGATGCAATAGGCCTGTGGGCCAGCACTTTGACACCCCTGCTCTAGGTAGACCAAACTGGAAATCACCTCTAAAGGAAAGTTAGAATTACTTATATTAAGATTGGTTAATATAGTTCTGTATCCCTTTCTCCTCCTCCTTATACTTCAATGAATTAGGGAAGTATTTGCCTGAATTGCTTCTGAATGTTATCTTGTTTATAACTTTAAAAAATGCTTCAAGCTCTTTTCCCAAGCAACATATACTGCATGTTTCCATCAAAGTTATCTTCTTGCACCATATTTAATGTCATTACAAAATCAAATATAGAGAAAAATATAAATTATAGTTTATAAATTATATAAACTATAGTTTGTATAATTATATAAATTATAGATCAAGTTTATATCATTCAAAATACTCCCTTCATTAACAGTGAAAGCCTATGCACATATACTCAGAAATAAGTTCCTTTGTGGCATGTATGATGATTGACATCTGGAATAACCTTTAGTTTGTTAATTCACATGTCCTTCAAAACTTCTCTCTGACATCTTTTTAGATTTTCCTCTCACAATGGATGACAAAAAAATAAAAAATGACCTGCCTATTAATATACTGATAATACTGCAACCTAATTGTTTTGGTAACCAAAGCCATTGATTTCAGATAGTTGCTAAGAGGCAGAAACTTTGATTGTATGAATCAAAAGGGAAACATCTTCCCGAGGCACTCCTCACATTAAATTTGGATATACTCAAATTCTTGGCATAAAGCAAGTGCTGCTGTTCAGCTTTGGAGTATGGGGTGGGAATGGAATAACTTTCTTCTAGTACTGCCTTCTGGGAATGTATAAGAAGGCATAATAACTATTGTATGCCTAAATTAAATGTTAAACTATACCACTTGCTTTATGCCAAGAATTTATGCATATCTAAATAATGTGAGGAATGCAAGTGTTATTCTTGCCTTGAATGTTTCTAGTAGTTCAGAAGCTCTGGGTATGAAAGAGAGAAACTGTGACTCTGTTATGTATAGTTTTCTCTTTCTGATCATCCTTTCTTCACTCTCATTGTAAATCTTCCATTTTTCATTTTGTAACCAGTTTTTTATTGCTGCCCAAACTGAAATAAGTAAAAATAAGTATTTTCTTGGGAATAGTTACCTGTTTCCGATCCTTGTTCTCTGTTTCTCCACATAGACTATTTTTAGTTCATTTCTCAGACTGTGTACCAATGTGCCCCTCCCTGTTCTCATAGCCACAATCAAGCTGAGTTATCCAAAATAAGTTGCAACTTCCGTTTCAGTTTAAAAATGAGGCTGTGCAGCTGGTGAGCTGAATAGCAAGTGTTGCATCAGCTGCCAAGCCTAAATGATTCATGAAACTCTCCTGTTTGTCATAGAAATTGCAAGAGAAAGAAATAGAAAGTTCTTTTTTATTTTTCTAATGAAAAATCTGAAATTTACCTTAACATAATTTATAATAATTTCATCATCAAAGAAAGAAGTTTCTTACAGAGTCTGTGGTTCATTACTGAATAACGCACAATTACTGGTAACTAGCCAAGTGCATAGGAAAGCGAGGAGGAACTAAATCATTGCCAGATTTTAACCATTCTCAGGAATCACAATACTTCTTACAGGGCTAACATAATGCACTTTAATAATTAACAGAACAGAAGGATAGGAATTGCAGAATTTTCAAAAACGGTTCCTTATAGACAGAAAGTAAAATAGAAATGATCAGAAATAGAAAGTCATGCATAATGGAAGCAGACTTTTAAACCACTACTAGAACGGTTAAGAATAACACTTTTCTCAGCTGTTCTTCAATATATACTCAGCTTATGAGGAGACTAGCATTAATGATATATATTAGTCTACAAACAGATACACTCATCTTACCTCAAATGCTTGTTAATCTGCTTTGATATCATTTTACAAATGCTTCTATCAATCCCAGATAAGGATTGCAAGAAGACAGAATCATTTATTATGAGTAGAAAGATAGTTTCTATATTAATTCCTTACAGTAGGAAATAGTAACTTTTAGAACTAAGAAAATTGGATGAGAAGAATCTGGTAGAGTTTTAAACCCCAATATCACTGGCTAAAACGAAAGGCTTTTGCCTTTAGGAGATCAAGGGGAAAAACATCTATCAAAATAATCTAAATTATCATTATTCTTTTCCAGTGGATGATAGCACTGGTGTAATAAGCTGCACCTGTTGGAAAAATGCTTTAGCAGAAAAGAAAAAATTGTCAGGTAATATTTGTGGCTGATGTTTTCATTTTTTAATTCAATATATGCTGCAGCCATGGCTGTTTTCAGATACTAACCTTTCCCTGTTTGGTCTTTTCATATCGTGCTTACTCATGAAAATTTTATTGTTGTAGTAGCCCTTGAGATATGGACTGTTGTAGCATTGTTTCCTCTCAGAATGGGGCATTTGCTTGGTTAAGGGTTATATGTTCTTCGATATATAAGTATAGTATAGGTATTATAGCACTTTATGTTATTGTTTTTATTATTGTTGTAATAATAGTATGTTTTAATCTGGTATTTGGAGGTCAGATATGTATACTACTCCCAGGTTGATAATGTTTGGGGTAGAACATAAGCTCAGTAATAAGTCTAAAAATACATGTCACAGAAAGAAAAAAGAAAAGAAAATTGAGAAATTTATAGCTTTATCTATTCCTGTTTTGTTTTGTTTTTTCATCATGATTCTGCTTTCCTAAACAGGAGAGTGGCAGGTTTTAAATGAGAAAAAATACATCTCTGTGGAAACATGACCTGAACAATTGTAGTACTTGAGAAAATGTCTTTAATTTTATTGTGAACATTGTTATTAATAACATAGCACTTTATGAAATGTATATATTTCTTTGCAGATTTGGAAACTCAGCCTAGTACTTTAAGTAATCTGAATCTGACTGACTTGATAAGAAATCTCCAAATAGCAATTCGAAAAAAAACAAGTCTGGAAATTGGTGATCTAATAAGAGTCCGTGGTTACATTCGAATTTACAGGCAACAACGGGAAATTAAGTCTTCCATGTATTGTGAGTAATTACCTTACAGCAGTATGCATTTTTATCTTTATTTTAAAGTTGCAAATTGTAATCTGAACATTTTTCAACAAAGATTGTTTTTCTCTGGTATGTACCGGTAGTTCCTCTTATATTGATAAATTTGTATTATTTTATATATGAAATGTAGTAAATAATCTTTTAGCACGATTAAGCACTATTAACAATTTCAACACCTTTACATTTCTCATATCTTTTCAGATAAAGTTGATGACCCTATGTATGAAACTCAAATTTCCAGAATGCTAGAAGTTCCCCGTTTATATAGGGATATTTATGATAAGATATTCCAGTTCCCGGAAGAAACACAGTGGTCAGTGAACACTATATATATTGATAACTCAGTTTTGATATGGTATTAATTTGTTAATTCATGGAAATGTGAATCCCAAGTTAGAGACAATGGAACAGGCTATTTTATAAGAAGCACTGTATGGAAACAGGAAGAATGATGAGGAATCAATAAATATAGGATGAAATAAGAAAGAGATATAGTTGATGAACCTAGAATAAATAAATTCTTAGATGAATTCAGCAAAATCATCTTAAATCTGTAATGTAAACTTTGGCAAATTAAAAGAAGTATTAAACTCTTGACTATCAGTGGGCTTTCAAGATGGCACCACATTGAGTAAAATAAATGGACATCTTTCCTAAATATGCCACTTATATTCTCATTTTCAAGTCCAATTCTTGTCAGATACTCCATGACAGATCAATCAAGATCTAGTTCTTTCCAAATATATTGTGCAACTCACATAATTCCCAATCATACAGGTCATGTTGGAGAAGCCAGAAAAAAGGTCAAAACAATACAGTAGCTGGCAGTAATCAAATGTTTCAGCCACATTTTAAGCAGAGATGTGCTTAGTGTGCGCTCTTATCATGTGTGCCAATAGCAAAACTGAGATTGGTAATTATCATGCCATCTAGTTCCAAAATTATATGCAGTCCTCATTTAGCCATTGCAATCCGTTCCAGTGAAATGGCACTAAGCAACACGGTTACTAAGCAAACCATACGATTGACAGCTACTATGAAGATCATTAAATGCTGTGATCTCTATTTAGATAACGTTGTCTTGTACAGCAACACCAATGTTAGTCTAATTCCAGAGTGCAATGTCAGGCACAGAAATTTGGTCCTAAGCATGTATATAGGTGAGAAAATGATTTTTTACTACCATTTATTTCTGCCATTGCATTTGTAAAAATCTGAGGTAGTCATTAAATAAGGATTGGCTATATATGTAATTTGACAAGTGTATTATGAATGCATTTTTAAATCAGTGCATGCATTTTTACCTGTGAAGAATGTATTATCGCTACAAGATGTTCAACAGTTCTGGAAAGCTTCCTCTAGTTTCATTATTAGTTTTAGACACTCTTTTATTTTGGTCTCTGTTCAAACTCTTTTCTCTGCATTTTTAATTTTATTTATTCTCTATTAATAGTAATCATGGTGCATCAGATGAACTGGGTTCTGTTATGAATCTGAGTAAAAAAATAAGGGATTTTCTATTGAAGAACAAAATTCAGAGCTTCTATAAGCAGGAATTAGAAACAGTTGAGGATTTGGTATCATTGGCCAAACAGGATGAACTTGGTACCACTGCTGAGCAAGTAAGTAAAGTTGACTTTCTAAGAAGTTTTTCTCTTCTTCTGAGAAGTTATGAGAATTAATTAATTAAGAATGAATTAAGTGTTAGGGCTAGACAATTGTTGCATATTTAAAAAAAATAAAATTCACATCTATTAATGGAGTGCCAGCCTAATAATTTGTATACTTCTTGTTTTAGACCCAAGTTACGACCATTAAACTATTTTAAAAAAATTAATACAAGATGTACCCAGTTTAAGAATGAGTTCCATTTCCAAAATCTGTCCTTAAATGGAATTTGTATATAAGCTGGGACAGTATCATTGTATACTACTGTTTAAGTCAGGGGTTCCCAACCTATGGGCCGCGGCCCAGGGTCTTGGCCAGTAGGCCACAGAAATGGCTGACCACAGTGTGCATGCATCGGTGCGCATTCCCCCCACTTACGCTAGCACCCACGGCCCTGTTAGCGCATGCTAGCATGGGGGCATGCGTGCCTCGTTTGTGCATGCACGAATGGGCATGTGTGTGTGCAGCGGGGGTGCGGCCCATTTGTGCATGCACAAACGGGCTGCTAGTGTAAGGGGATTTGTGCGTGGCCCATTTGTGAATGTGCGAATGGGCGCTAACTGCTGCGGGAGGGGGGTTGTGGTCGTTCCTGCATGTGCCAGTGGGTGTGGCCCCATTTGCGTGCGTGCACGCGCGCGCCCATGCAGTAATTTGGAAGCTGCTCTACCCTCTGGGCCATGAAACTGGAAAAGTTGTAGAACTCTGGTTTAAGTAGTATTGTGAAATGAATACATACATGAAGCATTATGTATTTAACTTGAATCACCGTGTGTTTAAATTTTGCTACAGTAGACTCCTTTCTTAACTGTGGCTCATCCTTAAACCCAGTGTTTTAATCTAGGCACTTCCTTTAATGAGATTTTAATAATCATCCAGGAGCTGGATGAAATAACTGATATTATGCATGGCTTTTAAATGTCTTTTGATAAAAACCTATTAAATATATAGACCAAACTACAATGCAACATTATTTGTTGGAATTCAACATTCAGCTTTAACTCACTGTTTATTATATTAGAGAGTATTTTGGAACTTTATGTTTTTTACAAGTAATGCCTTTTACAAGTTACAAGTTTTACAAGTTCCTGAACTTAAGGGCAGGTGAACTAAGGCCCAATTTCTTACAAAGATGGGACATTCATTGTAATATTCTATCAGAGCATTCTGACATCTGCCTCACATCTTATTTCTTCCTGGGCATTTCAACTTGTTTGGAAAGGATCTTAGGGGTGAGGGATTTAGGAGTCTCCAAGTCACTAACCTCTAATTGAAATCAGAATTGTTCATAAAGTAAATTCTTGTTTGAGAGTTTGACTGATTTTCAATAGCATAATGTTTCTGTTTTACATTGCACTTCTGGTTAAATAGGAATTTGCTTATAAAAAGTTCATAGTATGCAGAAAATACTTGTATCATTTGAAATTCTGGATAGAACAAACATTATTTAAAATTATTTTTTGGTAGTGTTATAGCAAAATATCAATGTGTTTAATTTAGATCTTACAATTTTCTTTCAAGAGAATTAAATTGTTTAGGCAAGTTTTTCTTTTCTTTAGACTATATTTTTTTAATGTCAACCCTCAAAAATGATCACTCAATTGAACTAACAATAAAACTGTATCTCTCATTTACAAAGGCTTCTGTGAACTCTTTCCTAGTGGTTGTTTTCTGACAACCATTTGTTTTTATAAAACAAATGTTTGTCATTGAAATGTAATTAAATGGATTTTAATTTAAACAAGAACTCTGCTGATCTTTTTTCACATTGATATAAAACAAAAGGAGCAAATAGTACAGAAGGATTCAGTTCAGTTTGTCAGCTGCTATTATAATAAATTCTGGTTGAATCTGAAAATTATCAGCTCAGTAAATTAAGCATTCCTAAATATTCAAGTTAGTCTAATTTAGTAATGTGCTCAAGCAAGTTAGGAGTTTGTTTATATATATTTCACAATCTTATAAACTCCCATTCCTCAGTCCCAACTGCTCATTGTTAAAATTGTGAATAATATCCTTTTCATTTTTTTTAGTATCCTATGTTACTTTTATCCAAGCACACCAATCAGAATCAATTTCCCTATAGAAGACAGTATTTTAGGAACATTCCTGTTACATAAGAGCATAATATAAGCAATGCTAGTTCATTTAGTACTTCTGATCTGTTTTTACAGTACCCAACCAACTGCACAAGGAAGCCCACATATCTCCCAGCAGATGCTTTCAAGAGGCAGTCACACTGCTATCAAAGCTTATAACCATTGATTTCCATGACTTTCTTGAACAGGTCCAACCCTTTTTTGGATGCAACCAAAATAGCTGCCATTTTCATATGGAATGTTTAGCTATCATGCATATTAATTCTTGGTTTCTCTCATTTCTCTTTTCTTCATTTTCACTAGATCTGTACTCTTTTGTAATATTTTCTTTTAATGCATATTGTATTTTGGCTTTGAGCTTCCTAGCTAAACTCAAATTATAGATTTATCTTCTAAAAGTATCATGATCAAACAATAAATGTATAAAGGAGCTTAGTCTGTTAACCTCTCATAATGTGTATTGAATTTCTAGAGCTTTCTGCTTCCATCTTCATTCAGAACTGCAAGTTCAGTTCCCGTGGAGACAGAATGTCTTCCTCACCTTTAATCTTGCATCCTCAGAATCAATGATTCTATTTTTACTCTTAGTTTTTGTATAAACTTCCAATATCTTGACTAAATTATCTTTTTTTAATTTTAAACACAACATAAAGAAACACTACAGCAGAATTAATTCTTGTCTTGTTATGTATTTATTTCTTGTACTCTATCAGCTGAGAAATAGCAAGAGCTCTTGCATAATCATATAATCTAACCTCAATTAATCCACTAACCATGACATGAGAAGGAACAGAAAGAAGGAACATATTTCCTCTGACAATTACCATATATTCCAATAGCATCCAACTTTAAAACAAAGGATTCATAAGCAATTATTTTTATCAAAGTATTATGGTTTATCAGCCTGTATTCAGGTAATTTACTCAAAGCTATTTATGTAATAATGCAACATACTAGTCATCACGAAACAGCATTTGATTACGTATTTTTGTCAATTTTCAATCTGTCTCCTGTCACTATATAATTGGAAAATTATGACTTTTTAATTAACTTTATTTAAAGAAAACTGCACAACATTCAGAAGACACTAATAAATGGGGAGAGTAAACTATGTCACTTTATCCCCATGGAAAGTTGACTGAATGAAAAATTTGGTCTGATAGCAATCTTCAAATATTTAATAGAACAAATATACATTGGAACTATAGATGAGGAAATTGATTAAATTACAGGAAGACAAGTTTTTGAATAGATTAAGGAAAACTTCCTTACTATGAGAACAGTTAGATTGTTTGAAATTGTTTAGGAAGGCTGCAGGATACTAAAATTTCTCTAACATGTTTAAAGAATTTGGTTACTGATAGGAAATTGAATGGATGATTTTCTTTATTCCTCAAATACATATCTCTCACTTCAGGTCTACCTCTGAGCACTCTTTTGTTTGGACAACAAATAGAAATTGTGCATATTGCAAACAACTTCAATATAGTCAGTTTTCATATATTTCAATCTTAATAATCAGGTTATCAAAAATGTAGTGTACAAATAATCATTAATTTATAACAGCAGTTGCAACCGGAATTTATTTTATTAAGTGATGCAGCTATAAATTGCAATCCCTGAAGTCCAAGTTGCTGTTATTAGCTGAATTCTCCAGTACAAGAGATGAAGAATCCATCAATGGGTTTTCTCTGTCTGCCTGCTCTTGAGACCAAGTTAGCCAAACTTGACACACCCCCTGTTGCTAGGAGACCCAGTCTTGACTTGGTCTCAAGCTCTTGAAGACGTGTCAGGTTTGGCTCTCAGAGTCTAATAGCAGGTTAGAGATCCATTTGTGAATTCTCCTTGCCCAATAATTTCCAGCATTTCAGGTCAGTATTTACAGCCTGGGAACTTCTCCCTCCTGTTCCCCTGCAGCACTGAGATCAGCGCTGCCTCAAATTGGCCGATTTGAGGCTTGAGGGGTAGGGTGGGGGTGGGAGCTGCAGCTTCCCCGTTCTCCTTCCCCAGGGCTCTGATAAACTGCAATCCCTGCAGTCCAAGTTGCTGTTATTAGCTGAATTTCATGGGCAGCTTAACAAAGTCATAACCAAAGTCAGTAAGGCAGCTAACATAAAGTTGTTAGTCTCAAGCCAGCAGGCAGGCAAGGGGCTATGGCTAGGCTGAAGAGGAACACGAGGGTCCATAGGAGTGTGAGCAGGCATGGTGAGGGTCTGGGAGGGTATGAGGGGTGTACAAAGATGTGGTACAAGTTGGGAAGGGTGCAGAAGAGGTATAGCACAGGCCAGGGAGGCTGCATGAGTGGTTGATGCAGCTCAAGCACAGATGGGCTGGAAGAGATTATGCAGGTTGGGGAGACTTACCCCAGCAACAGTGGAGAAGTTGGTAGGGAAGGTTGCAAATGGCAATCATGTGATCATGAGTCACTGCAATTAATCATAAACACGAACCAATTGCCAAGTACCCAGATCAAAATAATGTGATCATAAGGATGCTGTAGTAGTTGGAACTCCGAGGATCAATCATAAGCGTTATTTATTCAATGCTGTCACAACTTCAAATGGCTGCTGAACAAATGGTTGTAAGTCAAGGACTATCTATATGTTTATTGACCAACATTTGTTAGTACTTTAAAGAGAAATATATTTATTATGCCATAGATGTCTATAGAAATCATTGGGTTAATAAATTACTCACTGAGCTTGGCAAATCTTATGTATTTAAAAAAATTCTAATATGCACTAATATGTGTATCATAATGAAATGAAATGTATATAAAAAGAGTTTATCCACTTACGCTGGGTATGTGTGCCTTGGAGTTTCATGGCCTCATGAACACTTTTCATAAGAATGAACACCATTCTGGCCTAAATCTTGGCTCATAAAGGTTTTGAAAGAGCAAAAATTATTGATTGTAGACAATACTAAGATGATACAACTTGGCAGAGTAACATGAAGTTCAGTAGAGTGTAGTACAGTTTATAAATTATCTGTATGCTCTTGTAACAAAACACAGATAAGAACAGATTCCAGTATGATTATTGTTTTTGAGCTAAAAAAAGCATACAAGAATTATAGAAATATTTCAGTCTTCCTAATAACTAATCAAATATTATTTAGGACAGAGTATTTGGGCTTTTTGTTTAGATTACACATCCAGAGTACAGTAGAATTAATGTTTTCCTTTTTGAGTTTTCTAATCTATCTTCTGTATGTTTTCCATCTAATCACTTCCTGATACTTGTTTCCTATTCTTCCAGCCACTCCTTCTGTGGCTAAAACTTTAGTTAGATCAGGTAATACTATACAGCAGGGAAGAGTTTTAGCATGAGTATCTGTAGGAGGTCAGACTTACGTCAGGAACATTTCAGAGTCATAAACCCCATCCTTTTTTCTGTGTAATGCAATATTGCACACACCCCAAGCTGGCAGAGCTTACAATGTAGTGGAACAGCACAGCAGTTTCTGTGGATGAATACTAGACTTACAATTGGATGGTAGCATCTTAAAGTCCATGTCAGCCACGAAGATAAGAAACTGACCTTGAGCTATCCTAAGTTATCTTATGGAATGATTGTGATAAACAAAAGAGGAATATGTATGCTGCTCTGAGCTTCTATTTTTAATAAAATTAAATCAGAACAGAACATTTTAACCCTGCTATTCCACTGGCATATTATTACCAGACACTCCATGTCTTTCAGAGAATAAAAATAATGAAAACAAAGGAGGAGTGTGGCTTGGCTCAACATATTGCATTACTTCTTTAAGAGGGGAACATAAAGTTAAGAAAACCACAAAAGTCAGGTTTCCTAAGATGTTCCTCTGTTGTTTTTCCTAAGCTGCTACCAATTTCTTGTGTACTTTTTCTATCCCTCCAAAGTATTTCATGATTTACAACTCTGTCCAAGCTGACTCTTATGCCAGTTTATATAATGACTTTAATTACAGCCTGACGTCAGTTATATTATTTTCAGTTATTCCAAAGGGAATAATTAGGAAGCTCTTTTCTTTCCTCTGGTAAATCTTTTATTTCATTCATTTACTGTTTCTATTATATTAATAATTCATCAGCACTTCCTTAGGTAAATTGCTTAGGCAGCAAACTTTTCTAACTTCTGAAATACTGCTAGTTGCAGTCTATTTAATCATAAGGATAAAGAGTTTGCTATTTAAAGGTAAGGTCTTCTCACTCTAAGAAATGAAATAAATAGCCTAAACAAGCATATAACTTGTCTTTGTACCTTCTTATACCATTATGTTATCTGCTATTTACTGTTTTCCCATCAGACAGGTTCTAAAGCTGGTCCATGCTCCAGACTGATTAGAAAGTCATTCATGGAAGCAATAAAATTATTGCAGAAAGATGGTGTTCTTTTTCAAAAATCAAAGACTCCCGAGAATATGTATTATGTAAGTATTGAAGGCCGTATAGTTTTTCTTGCATCCTACTCTATTTACATTCAGTTATTATATGGAATATGCTGGTGGCAAGCTAATGCTACTGGCAAATGGATAGCACAGTTTGAAAATACCATTTTAGATTATCTGAAATGGGTAGAATGATTAGATAGATAGATAGAAGAACATTTAATTTCACATGTAACTTTGGGAGATGCAGATTGGGTACCTTCATTAAAAATGTGGAAGGAAAGAATTTTCTTTTTCAAACAGCAATTGGAGCTGAGTGCATATAGTATCAATAAGTAGAAAGCTTGGGCTGAATAGTACTGTTATATGCCAAGTTTATATCAGCCACATTTTAGCATAGCACTAGATAACATGTGCCCCTTGTGGCTTATCGGTTCAGAAATATTTCCTTACCTAAACAGAAAAACAAAATGAATATGGGTGGGTAAAAAATAAGTGAGACGGAGCGACTTTCAACTATCTATCAGCTTGCCCATTGAGTTTCCTTGTGGGAAAATGACAGCTAGCATTGAAACCTTCCTTCCTTCTTTCCTCCCTCCCTCCCTCCCCTTTTTTCTTTCTGTTCCCTTCCCTTCTCTTTCCAGAAGGCCAATAAGTGGCTATTACCAGCTGGGGGAGGGAACAAGGGAATGCAGTATGAGCGGTATGAACATAGGTAGTGGCACTCCTGTGAATTTGTGGGAAGCTGTCAGGGAACATTGAAAATGTGAATCATCTGGCTGTAGTTGATTGGGTCAGCGTAGCAGTGAAGCAGCAGCCCTGCAATGGTGAAGTAACCACAAATTCCCCAAATTTCTTTTCTTTGGGAGTCATGGGTCCCAGTATTCTGTAAGTTAGGCATTTTGAAAAAAAAAATTGCCCTTTGATGCATAGTTTTGCCCAATTAAGAGTTAAAGGCACAATAATTTTAGTAGTAAATAGATGATATAAGAATCTCATGATCGTAGTTTGTAAATGGTGATTTAAATTTGAATCTGTTGTTTCTGATGAATCAAGTCTGACTTATTCAGTGGCTTAGCACAATGTATGAAGCTGGCTATAACGTCTGAACAGGGGCTAATTTTAAATGGGAGATCTGAAAGATGAAATATCACTGCATGAGGATTGCATGAAATTTTCCTTCCCACTATTATATTCTTTTGAGATGAGAATGTAGCAGTCTCGAATTGTAAACCTTTTTATTTAGCAATTTATCCTTATATTTTAGGTTACTGAACAGGATACAGAATTGCACAAAGTAACTCTTGAAGTTATCAGAGCTGATTGCAAGAGACCAAAATGTAAGTAGGCTCACTATCTTAATTGCAAACAGAAGTATATTTCCTGTTATTTCTTATTTGTATAATTCACACCATATAAAAAGTGGAATTATCTGCAAACGCTTGTAGGGAGTTCTTTTACATATTTTCTTATAATTTTAGATACTTTTTGGTTTCTGTATTAAAATATTTGTCTGAGATCAATTGCTCAAACTCATTTCTTTTTACTGTCTCTTTTACTCTTCCCAGCTGATTCTTATCATTCTGTATTGATCCAAATTGCATTTCTAGGAGTTTAAGTGAGGCATCTTTAAAGAACAGAAGCACAATATTGAAAAATCTTTCTTTGTTATGTATTTGGCAGTCTGAAACGTTAAATTTTGAGCTCATTTAAGGAACCCCTGATGCCTTAATACAGGGGTTCCCAACCTGTGGGCCATGGCCCACTACTAGGCCGCTCGCGTTAGCACCACTGCTATGAAAACGGGGCAGCGCATGGTAAAAATGGGGTGATGCTAGTGCCTCTGCAGCACAAACAGGGCAGTGCTAGTGAATGTCAGGCGGGCGCTAGCACTGCTCCATTTGCATCATGTGTGCTCATGGTGCTGTGTGTGCGTGCGCACGTGTATGCATAAAATGGTTCCCCATCCCTTTCCCTCCAGTCCGCCAGCCGAGAAAAGTTGGAGACCTCTGTCTTAATAGATCAAGGTACAAAAGAAACATACTAAAGGACAAAATTAGGAATATGTGAGAATTGCATTTTCTTTTAGGACAGGGGAGAAGAATCAAAACAAGATGGGATAAGAGTGACCTTGCATATTGTGTTTCCTCATCAGTGACTCATAGATACTGCTCAATAGATACCTCTACCAGTCACAATGGAATGCTTATCCTATGACATTTATTATATTTGCTGAAGAAACATTCAAATTTTTGCAATGTTACTTATGTTGCTTTAAAAAAAATACAAAAAGAATAAGTCGGTGTATCTTAAGCCACAAGAATATCGGATTACTTCTTTTCCCTGAACAAAAGTTATAGAAGTTCTTACACCAGGATGCAAATATTTCCCACCCACCTAAAAGCTAAAAAATATTGCCAATTATGTGATGAATGAGCACTAATTTGGATTTTTTTTCAAACAACATCTTCCTCTTCCTATCGCCATTCAATTTTTCCTCTTATTAGAAAGAAAATATCCTAAGTGGAAATCAATTACTCCTGATTATTCACTCCTTTGTTTAAAACATAGACTTTCATGTCTGAAAATAATGAATACAAAAACCAGGACATGATGTTCTTAAGCTACTCATTTATTCTTCACCGTTAGTATTAAAAAGGAAGAATGAAAGTGCCAGACCTCCTAACTGAATGATGAGTTCTGAAATTGCACCAGGAAGACTATGTAAGAATTCTATTATTTAAGAAAGAGAAGGACAACAGTCCACCATTTATAATCCCATGCTTACTTTCTATTTGCAGATGCTGAAAAAGGGTGCCACCTTCGTCACATACTCTGCTGTATTCAGCAAAATTATAATCCTTATATCACTGAAGCGGTTGTCCGTTGTCTCCTTAATTGGTTGGAGATCAACAGTGATGTTGTCACTACCATGGAAGAATACTATACAGTATTTTAATCTAAGGAAATACAATGGATGCTTGGAGTCAAACATTATCCAGTGATCTATAGCATCAAAGATTTTACTATGTACCTGCTGAGCTATTTTTCTTATTTAGAAGGTAATGCAGAATACAAATCATTTTATTTTGTGCTATTCCTGGTAGATATCATTGTCTGAAACATTTCTACTTTTTCTAAGAGGAAAAGGTGCTAAACAGTGATATAAAATTATGTTGCAAGTGCCCCCTTGTGGTTGGATAGAATTAAAAAGAACAAACTTTGGTTTTGGACCACATAGTAAAAGGAAAAAAAAAAAAGTATGTATAGGGAAGAGCAGTTTGATTTGTTTAACTTTCTGCCAGAGACCGACAACACAAAAATAAAATTCCAAAAATGACAATATAAAAAAGTAAAAATGATAAGTCAGACAAAATAAAAAAAAATAGGTAGAGGAAAAAGCTTGGCACACAGCCAAGATACTTATTGAATAATTTGTGGAATATAATGGTTCACTATTCCTCATTTAGCAATAAGTAGTCTGGACACTGAAGGATATCAGATTCCTTGTTTTAGTTCGGTGTTGTATTGGCTCCCTCAAAACCTATTAAAATTAAGTATTCAATTGAGAAGCTGTACTGTTTAAAATCTAGGGTCCTTTTTTCCATACAAGTTGAAAAACATCTAGCAGAATCAAAATGGTGAAAGAACTATCAATTTATTCCAAAATCTAAGGTGACAGCTTCCTATGAACTCCTATAGAAATACTCCAGATTCCAATTACAAGAAAGAATTGGGCACATTCTGAGGGATTTAGAAAGGATTTTAAAAATGTTGATTGGATTTCTTTATTAGTTCTTATGTATTTGAAGAGGCAAATTTAAGGATATTAATGTCAATAGGCATATGGTTAATGCATCTGCTGTCTGTACAGTTCAAAACTGCATAAATAGTTTGGGCCCGATTAGAATCAGATTTCTATTGTTTCTACCATATCATAGAGAATGAAAAAAAAAGGATTCCTAAAAGAAATAGAGTCAATCGTGGTATTATTTTATTTGCAACAATGAGTTCAGCTAGCTAAATGTTTGGTTGAAACCCCTACTTTTATCTCAAGAGAGTTGACCCATTACATTGGTTCATACCAGCAGTTGATGGACCCAGATAGGTTTCAGAGGGACTGTAGGATATTCCTACTGGTCTGCTGCTTGGTCCATCTGAAGTCTCGGTTGCCACTTGGAATAAGAGGGTGGTTGAGGCATTGGATCAGATTGCACCTATGTGGTCTCTTCTCCTCTTGTGGATCCCATCAGTCCCCTTAGTTCACAGAAGAGTTAAGGGAATTGAAATGAAAGAAGAGACATCTAGACTAGTGTTGCTGGAGTTCAACAGGGGACAAACTCAACCAAATCACTCTTAAGGCCTGCCTTGTGACAATATGGATAGTAAAGCATCAATACTCCTCTACCCAGCCACCGTCTGCAAATAGCTATTCAGGTAGCAAGTTAAATACTATATCTTTTTATCTAGTATTTTTTTGTGAAAAAAAAAACCTTTTAAAGAATACTCAAGATATAACACATTCCTTAATATGACCAATCTTCCTTTAAAACATTGTTAAAGCATCCTGTAATACCAGTACTGTTCTCTTTTGTATCCCATATTCCAGAATGCTGTTGGGATAACCAACAAGCTGCCTTATTTAACACTTACATCCTTTCATCAGGTTTTTAGCAGGTAAAAGCTGTGTTCCAAGTGTTTCTAACAGTTGAGAATAATTTGTGTTAACTACACATCTGATTTTGGCACCAAAAGCCCTTTGTATGTCTTCTAGAAGCCACTGGACATCTAGAATGTATGATTATCAAGTCCATAAGTCCACAATGAAAAAAACTCTCCAAGTCTGTTGTCAGATTGTATGGAAGACATATTTCCTAAATAAAGATTCAGATCTTTTTCTTTAAAATATTTAAAATTTTAATATTTAAAACTTTTAAAATACCAAGTATTTCCTTATTTAGTATCTACTGCAGCATCTAATAATCAGGAAGTTTAGTTTCCCTTTCTTTTTGTAATACAGTATGGGGTTGTTCATAAAAACAATTTAGACAGGGTAAAACATTTCTGCTATTCTGAAACTAAAGCTGTGGCCTCATTTTATTATCTTGTAACCCTGATGACAAAAGCACAATATCATGCACTTTTATTCTTCCATAGACATTGGTTTCTCATGGAATTTAATGGTAATCCGTTTTATGAGTTGGTAATTATCTTAACAGAAGCAAAAGTAACCTAACTTGCAAATCTATATATTACCACAGTGTGGTGCTGTTGAAACAAACTTGGAAAACATTTAATACAGGAGTTTCTTTATATATTTAAATGTTTAACTATTTAAATACATATTTAAATTTAAGGTGATTTGCCATGTTCAAAATGAGAGCTATATGTACTTCCTGACTGAGATAGATAAGCATCTTGAAACTTTAATTACTATATTTAAAAAATCTGGCTAGTATTTTTTTAATTTCCTTTTCCAAAAGCACACTGAGAAGAGTTTTAATATTGTATTTAGGATATATCTTTCTACTAAACTGCATTTTCAATAGTGATTTTTTCCAATCTGGTTTTTGAATTTTATTTCATATGTGTAGATATAGTGGATATAAAAAGTCTACAACCTCTGTTAAATGCCAGATTTTTCACATCTAAAAAAAAATCTGATCAAGATTAATCACTTCAAAATTATTTCCACCTTCACTATAACATATAAGATGTACAATCCAGTTTATAAAAAGATATTAGTCTTCTTAGAGAGGTAGTATGATCCCTTGTATTGTACTTTTTAAATTTTACATACTGTATCCTTTTCTTTTTTAACAAAAATTATTTGTATTTATTATTTTCATTTATTTATTAAATTTGTTTGCCACCTATATCACCATGAAGTGATTTATCATATTTTCACAAAATACTGTGGAGACCTGTCTGTTATTATTTTCCATTATTTCCTGATTAAATTCTCAGTTTTCAAAATTTGTCATTTGCAATAGAGTTGAGTTAAATCAATATATTCTTCCCTATGGATACTGTCATATACAACATATCATTTTTTCTTCACAATAAAATAAAACATTAAAACAATTTTGCAAATTTCTTCAGAACCTAGAATTTAATTCATTTTATTTTAATTTGATATAAAGTAAATACCTGGCTAGTCTTTTGCTTAAATTTTGAATACTAGATCCCTTTCCCCATCTATATTTCACTCTTCTAAAAAACCCAATCACTGTGACAGATTGGGAATGTAGGGGATAGCCTAACATTAATTTTTGATTCTATTAAAAGCTAAATAAAAATGTTTTGTTGGGTTTACTTCCTGTTTGTTGAAATAAGATGGTAACGGTTTTTTTTTAAAGTAGCCATGGTATAAGAATTAGGACCAAAAAATACAATGCCTCTGTTCATACAACACACTAAGCCATACACTGCTATTAATAAACGGCAGTTTGCTGTGTTTATACAATATGATTGATTCTTACAGCCAAAGAATCAAACCAATTTCTGGCTTAAACTGACACATACAACATATCAAGTGGGTTGTTTAGTTTTGATTTTGTTATTGTGGATTGTACATATATTTACCTTTAACTTTTGTTGCTTATTTCTGGACATCATAAAATGTTGTAGCAATCCCCCATCACATGACTCCATTTCAGGTGCTTGGCGACTAGCTCACATGTATGACTGGTTGCAGCATCTTGCAGTCATATGACTATAATTTGCAATGCTTTTTTCCAGCAAAAAAGGCCATTTGGGAGAATGGATTTAGATTTACAACTGTGGGATTTGGACTTATGACTGTATAATTCATTTAATAGTAAATAGTAAAATGAGATCAGGTCACATGAGTACCCTGACTTATGACTGTCATGAATTATGAATGAAAATCCTATCCCAATTGCACTTGTTAAGTCAAGGACTACCTGTATTAAGTTATTTTTGCTGTGGTGTCTTACAATATGTTTCTTTATGTCACCACTCTGCCTTAAGAGATGCTCAAATGAGTTGTGAGATAGACAGACAAAATAGCTAGAGACATCCCAACAGAGTGTTGAAGGTTGATCTTCCCCATCCCTGTGCAATGCGCTGATTGGTGGAAGTTTAAACTACTAGCTGGTGATTCTGTAAAGAGGATTGCAATGAAGCCAGAGGAGAAAAACAATAATCTTGCCTGTAATGAGTGTCGTATTCATTGATCAGGACAATGACTCAGAAACAATGAGCAGGATATGATAGGGTTGGGATAAGAATAGCAAATATTATGTCAGCACCATTTACTGCTATCTCTAGGATGGGTGAATAACATTTTAACTCTGAGGTGGAAGAAATGCCCTAAGACAGCATTGGCACCTAACTAAAGTATAGAGTGTTTTCTTAAATATTTATAATTATTTCTGTACACCAGTGGATATTAAATTTTAATTCTTTTTTTTTTATTGAAAATTTTAAAGTTTTTACAAATAAGAAAAAAGAAAAAAAAGACAAAAAACAAAAAACAACCCTAACCCACCCACCCCAACCCTCCCTCTCCATCCCCCCCAACCTTCCCAGAGCTGAGTCTAGGCTTAGTTAAAATTTTTAAGAATCTTAAAAAAAAAATTGAAAAAATATAAATCATAAGTATATCTAAATACATTACATAAACAACTTATAAAGTAATTAACAATAATATATATATAAGAAAAAAGCATAAATATTAAAAAGAAAAAGTACTTGAAAGAGAAAAAAGTAAGAAAAAAAGAGAAAGAAGAAAAGAGATATGGAAAAAGTACAATCTATAAAATATTAAAATTTATATATAAGTTATTGAAAAACTAAATAATATTTTTATATCCAATTTATATTGTATAAAATTTATCCATTTTTCCCATACCGCAAAGAATTTCTCTTGCGATTGCTCCTTTAAGAAAGCCGAAATCTTTGCCATTTCCGCCAAATAAGAAACTTTTAAAAACCACTCTTGCAAGGTAGGCAAGGATTCCTTCTTCCAATATTGCCCTACTAACAGCCTTGCGGCTGTAATCAAATTTAACATCAATATAACCTCCTTAGTGTCACAATCAGTAACAATACCTAACAAAAACAATTGTGGGGTAAATTTTACCCTCTTTCTAAAAATTCTTTGAATATTCCACCATATCTTAATCCAAAAGGCTTTTATATTTTTACACGACCACCAAATATGATAATAAGTAGCATCCAAACAACCACATCTCCAACATTTAGGCTGTGAGTCAGGATACATACGAGACATTTTTTGTGGATCAAGGTGCCATCTATAAAACATTTTATAGAAATTCTCCCTTAAGTTCTGGGCTTGTGTGAATTTGACATTCCTCACCCAGATAGTTTCCCAGGTATCCAGTAGAACTGATTCTCCAAAATTTTGTGCCCATTTAATCATACATTCTTTAATTAGTTCTGATTCTGAATCCAGTTCTACTAGAACCCCATAAATTCTCTTAATATGAGTTCACCTTTGATCTTTTACTTGTTTAAAAAGGTTTTCATCTAAATTTTAATTCTTTGTATAGTTTCCTTTATTGCTTTTTCCTCTAAGAAAGTATAGATTTCTATAGCATAGCGGACTTTCTTTGAGGTAGAGCATACAATGCCTTATTCCCCAGGGGGAAAAACTATATAATTAAATATTTGCTGCTAGTTACATATCTCTGATTACAATTTTCCAAATAGATTTTTCTACTGTACGATGAAAATGTGTTCCACAGCTCCTTGTAAAGCTGTTTATTTCGCAAAACGTGTGTACACAATACACAATACTGATACTGTTAGGAATTTCTTGTAACAATCACAATAGTATATTATTTTCAAATGTGGAAAGGCTCTCTCATGTGCTGGTCTGAAATTTCTATAGATGTGTGCATGTGATGCAATTTATATATTACAAAAGACTTATAATACATAATTATTGCACCCTGCTCTCTTCCAAACAAGAGGCTAAAATTAAGCAGAAAACTGTTTTGTGGCAGTCTTTAGGCTTATCTGATTAGCACCAACTTGGATGTTTTATTTACAAGGTATTTCTCAAGCTAATTGAAGTACCAAATACCCATAAATTATTATGGTTTGTTGCACAGTTATCCATATGTTCAGACTGGATTTGACACTTTTATCCATCTATAGATGGATCTGGGATAGACAGATGTGGATGTTTGATCGTGATTGCAGATATTGCCACAGGGTATAAGCTGTTCCAAGTAAAGTTGCCTTTTGCAATTGACTGAAGGTGATTTTCTTAATGCCGATGGTGTTAAAGTGGTGCTCCGGTTGTTTGGGATTGCATCCAAGGTGCTTATTACTGTTGGTACTACCTTTGTTTTCTTTTGCCACAGTTTCTAATTCTGTTTGCAGTTCTTTGTATTCTTGATGTTATCTTCTCCAGTTCCTTCTATTCTTTCTCCAGGTACCGCCATGTCACTATCCAGATTTTTTTTGTCTTTCTTATTGACAGTTGTTACATCCAGAGTGTTATGTGGCCTGTTTGTTTGAATTCTAAAGTCCCAGAGCACTTTAACTTCTTCGTTTTCTATTACTTTCTCTAGTTTATGGTCCCACCAGTTCTTGCTTTCAGGCAAATGGTACCGTATTTCTTGCAGTTTTTCCAACGCACCATTGTTCTTTCTTATGCCATTGTTTGTAGTCAATCTGTGAGATCTTCTTGCAGCAGCTAACCAGGTGATCCACTATTTCTTCAGCTTCTTTGCAGACATGGCACTTGCTGTCTGTTGCTGTCTCTAAATTCTGGCTTTGTATGCATTTGTGCAACCACAATTAGCCTCTCTGTCCCTTTCTTCAACTTTCCCTGCCTTTAGCTTTGTTATTATAAGCTTTGCCTGCTATTTTTTTGAAATGTACTAGCGATATAATGCTTTGTCTTCCCATGTCTCATCTGTGTTCTTAATTTGGTGTTTCATATAGGCCTATTTAGTCTCTCCAGTATTCAGTAAGCCTTCCTGGTACACTAGTTTCAGTGAATCTTATTCAGTCTTTCAGATATTCTCCCAATGCCCTTTTTTCTTCTTCAGTTATCTGAGGTACTTGCAACATTCCATGCTAACCTATTTTCCTTGGTAAGGAACATTGCTGCATGGATGAAGTGCATGATTCATTGTCATTATTTTTCTGGTCTTCCTATCCAAGGCTTTTAGTTCAGTTAACACCAGTCCATTATCCCAGCTATCTATCTAGTGACTCGAATTGCCCAGATATTAATTACCTTGATGGTATTTCCTCCCCAGTCTGGACTTTAAGATCTTATTCCATCTCTTGATGTATTCACCTCTAACCTTTTTCTTGACTTCAGTGTGCTTGATGCTACTGGCTTGAAGGCTGACCAGATATTTGTAATGATCGTGTTCATCCAGACTCTTGATGTTATTTGCATAGGGTATCTTGATTCCTTCAAGCTATCTGAAGATACTTGAAGATATTTTTCCTGTTTGATGGCATGTTTGTCCAGTCCAAACTTTATTGTAATTTATTGGTTGTGTATATGGACAGTGTTAAGCAATGATTCCATGTCCAATGGTGTTTTTCCATGCAGCTTCAGATTGTCCATATGAAGGAGATGGGATAGCATAGCAGATATTCTTGATGTTTGATAGCCATGGCTTGACCTGTTCAGTATTGTGACAGAAGATTCAATGTAATGACAAACAGTAGTGGTGATAGTGAGTCTTGGAAGATTCCTCTCTCCTGTTTTTATCACCATTGACCAACAACCTTGTCTTTGTGCCATCAATCTTTGCACAAAGCTTCTGATGTTTCTACTGACTCCTGTTATTTCTAGCACTTGATTATCCTATCCAAGGAGTTGAATGTCTTCTTGTAATCAATCCATTCAAGTTGGTCTTTCTTTTCTTGCTATTTCCAGAATCATCTTTCAATTAGGAGTTGATCTTTTGTTCCTCTGCTTTTTTGGGTAGTTGCCTTTCTGGACAGATGGAAAGAGTTTGTTTTGAACTAGATGCTTTTGGACTATATCAGCACTACACCAATTAGCAATTTGAAAGTTGTTGGTAAGCAGATAATTAATCTGTAGTTGCCTGATATTGCTCTTTTTGCTGTATCTTTCATTATTAGGTAGGTTTTTCCAGATGTTAGCCACTCTTCAATTTCACCTCCTTACGGTGTATTGTTAAACTGCTTGGGAATAGTGAGCATAGAACCGGGCAAATGTTTCAACCAAAATGCATATAGTTCTTTACCTGGTGCTGATCAATTTTTGATTTTCCTTGCTCTTTTCTCCATTGTTTCTGCTGTTACAACGAGTTCTTTCATTCATTACTATTAAATTTATTTGCCACCCATCTCACTGTTCAAGGTGACTCTGAGTGTAATAAAATATACAAATATCCAGACAATTCTAAATATAAAAACAGATTAAAATAAAAAAAATAAAAAATATGGGTTTGGAGCAGAGAAGTGGGAGTATATGCCATAGATTGTACATACGAAGCAAATACAAATAGCCTTCCATTTATTACCATTTTTTAATGATGATTTGGCTTTATGAAGGTGCTCGAAAAACTGAATTAACAACCTGTCCTCAAAGTTACATCCATCATATACACAGCCTGGCCTCATGATCACAATCTGTGTGCTTGGTAACTGGTTCACATTTGTGACAGTTGCCTCATCCTGCGGTCACATTATCATGATGTGCAACTTTCCCGGCTGGTTTCCAACAAGCAAAGTCAATGAGAGAAATAGGATTCACTTAATCATGTGATTTACTTAATGACTCTGGTATTTCACTTAACAACTGCAATAAAAATGATCATAAAATTGGTTTTGATCATGTGATAACTCAATTACGGCATCATTCAGTGGTTGAAATTCCAGTTCCAATTGTTATAAGCCAGTGATGGCGAACCTTTTAGAGACCGAGTGCCCAAAAACTGGCCCCACCCCTGTCCCACCCCATCCTGCCCTACTCACCCCCTGTCTTGCCCCCACTCCATCCCACCCTGCCTGTCCGCAGGGCCACTCACTGCCTCCAGGGCCTGCCGCAGATCACCAGACAGCCCAGCAGCGCCATGGCAGACATGCCCTCTGTCCATGCCCCACAGTATCAACTGTGTGCATTGGGGCATGAGGGCAGAGTCATGCCTACGCTGCCTGGCTGCCATGTCCTTGGCTGAGCTGCTCCGCGTGGGCCATGCTCGGGGGTGACTCTCCTCCAGGAGGTTTCTGGTGAGGAGGGGGTCACGGGGGGAGGCAAGGCTGGGGCAATGGCACGTGGGCCCACAGAGAGGGCTCAAAGTGCCGCCTCTGGTACCCGTGCCATAGGTTCGCCATCACTGTTATAAGCTGAGTGCCATCTATATTTCTGAGTTATAAATGTGGATATGTTGAAAAGCAGTAGCAAAGCATGATGTTTTTAATATTCCTGAATGTAACAAAACTATTACTGAGCTAATGCTAGTAAATCAGAGAGTCCAAGTAATGCACAACTTATTTAATAGCACCTACCTACTAGGAAAAAAGCAGCTTCTGACTGGACTATTTGATGGGAGAATGAAGAAAGATCTTGATGTCTGTTTCAGGCACTGGAATTCCCTCTTTTCTTGTCTTTCAGCCAGCAAGCAAAGGCTTGTTTATTCCTGTTTCTGGCATTTAAACTGATTGTAAAAATGGATTTAACTGGTGAAAGAATAAACTGTGGAGATTCTTTGTAATATAATTGTACTGAATGTTTAATTCATCTAGATATGTGAAGCATCTATATCCCATTCTTCAGTCTATAAGTCCCAGTGAAAAGTTTACAGGTCAGTGGAAAGAAAGAAAACCAACCAAATAGTCCCCGCCCCACAATATCTAAAAAAAATACAACATGAAAGGAAAAAAAAGAATGGGAAGGGCAGAAAAGCACAAGCTCAGGCATCTAAGCTCCTCCTATAAGCCATAAAATTATGGTTGCATGCAACTTAAGGAGAGGACAAGCTTAACAGAGAACAGTTGATGAAAGAGATTTGCCTCCCATCTCATTTTCTGATGCAATGATAAAAGGGTTGCCAGTTGAACTAAGCCCTTTTCATTGCCTATTTTAGAGAATCTCCTACAAATAAATTTGGCTTATGCTGCAGTCTACTGAGCAGGTTCACTCAGGGCTGGAAAGTCATTGGCCCATTAGAAATTGCTTAACTTTAACTCCCTCCAGCCCCAGCTAATTTATGGGATGTTGGGCATTTTAGTTCAGTAATATCTGCAGGGCCACAAATTCCCCATCCCACCCAAATAAATGGCTTATGGTCATTGGAAAATAGCATCCAACCTTTTGGCACCCACTAGCTTGAATTCTCTCATGTCATGGGCAAATCTGGATATGTATTTGGAAAATTATTTGATTGATTTCTATAGCTGCCCATCTCAGCAAACAACTATGTTTTCTGCTTCATGGAACCATTTTCAGTGGAAGGCCTGGTCTGCATCAATCTCTTAAGTAACACCTAGCCTTGGTCATTGTCTAGAGTAGATCACCACCGGAGTCTTTTAAATCCGGAGTCCTAGGTGGACGGCCTATATACATCTCGCTGCATTTAGGATACAGGATTTGGTAAATTCATTATGAGAAAGAAGGGAGGATGTTTTCGAGGGGAACTGGCTGGAATCGATTCTGGCCAACACCACTATTACTCTTTATGTGCCCCTTTAGTCCAATGCCCTGGTTGACAACTGAGACTTCTTGTGCACTTTGGAGAGCGCCGAGTAGAAAAAAACGAGCATCCGACGTGGGTTTCTTTTAAATTGCATAAAGCGAGAATCTCTCTCCTTTTTCTGCTGCACAGCAGCCGTCTCACATTTTCTCTTGTCGCCAGGCAGCTTGAGGGAAGGACGGGGTGGGGAGAGAAGAAGCGAACGCCCGCTTCTTTCCTCTTTCCTCCGCCTGCCTATGCCAAGCCTTTGCCGGCCGACCACTCGCTCGAAGTGGTCGCCGCCCATCTCAGCGTCCCTCGGGCTTTGGTCATGGAGAGGTGATCGCCCCCTACCCGTTCCGCTCTCCTGCCGGTGGGTGGGGGTAGGCAGCGCCGTCCTCTCCCCCTCCTCCGCCGGCATCCCCTCCCCCATCCCCTCGCCTGCTCGGCTCGCCGCGAAGACGACGGCAGAGGGAATTCGGAGACGAGCTGGGGAAGGGAGCCGCGGACACGCTCGCATCCCCATCCAAACCAGTCCCGCCGTATCTTCTGCCGGCCTGCCCGTTTCCTCCCTTTCCGCCTCCCCCTCCCCCAAGTCGGCTGCAGGAGCAGTCGCGGCAGCCGCTGTCAGACAAGGAGCTGAGGCCGGAGATAACTGCACCACGGCAACTCACTCCGGTGTAGGGCGGGAGGGGGCAAGAGGAGGGGCAAGAGGTAGGTAGGCAGGCAGGCAGGCAGGCAGAGAGAACGAACAAGAGGGGCGGGCGCACACAGACATAGAACACACACACAGACACACAGCACGCGAGATCTATGTGAGGGGTGTGCAGAACTTGATCCTTTCCCAGAGCTGAACTCCTCCCCGCCGCCCGTCCGCTCCAATGCGGTGGGGACGAGAAGAGTTCCTTTCCACCAGGATGAAATATTGGAAGTAACTGAAGATAATTCAGATTTTCCCGCATAGGAGGAAGAAGAGTTTGAAGCGGGTGTGTGTGCCTGCGCTTGCGGGACGCGCTGGCGTAGAGCCATATTTTGCTCGTTTCCCGCGTGATTTTTTTTTTTAAAAAAGGGAAATAAGTATTCGGTGGGCCCTTCGGGAAAGCTAAGTTGGAGGTGTTTCGTCCGTCCCTTTTGTACAGGCAAGGGAAAGAAAGCTGGGCTAAGGGGAGAGGAGGCTCTGTTTTCCTAGGAAATCCTCCTTGAGTGCTGAGGAGCCAAAGAATAAGCGCAGTCATCATAATACAAGGATACATCTGGACTGTGTTTGCGTTTCCTGGTTTTCCTGGGGACGAAGATGCTGTCCTACACTATACTGGATGCTAATGTGGTGGACGTGGAAAAAAGGAGAAATCCTTCCAAGCACTATGTGAGTATAGGATGAATAATGCTTGCAGTGAGGCCTCGGTGCCTGCTAGTACAAAACGCTGCGGGTCCTGACCATGGAAAAAAGCCTTTTACCGATTTGGCTATTGGGTTTATTACTACAGTGAGCCAGATAGAATTTGAGAAGGGAGGCAGGTGGGAGAGGGTTCACTTGGTACTATATGTGTTCCTTCCCCTTTGAAAACTTGCCTTAGCAGTACCTTTGGTATGGCAAAGAGGACAGCAAAGGGGCTTTTTTTTGGCAGTTGTTATGAATAGTCATCATTCTGGAATATGGTTCATGTGATGAGAGAACCTGAGAACTGGAAATCAGAAACTTATGGAACAGGTGGGGCAAAGCCTCTCCAATGGGATCGGGAAAGCATGCCAAATGGGTATAGGAGTAAAATGAGACCCCTTGTGGTCTCATTTTCCAATTCCAATCGGAATTGGAAGCTGTATGAAATCCTTTGCTACAGTATTTCAGCGGAGGATGCTAGGAACTGGCATGATTGGTTGGTATAGGACACATTGCTCAACCTTGGCAATTTTAAGATGTGTGGGCATTCCCAGAATTCCCCAGGCAGTATGCTGGCTGGGATGCTCTTGGAGCTGAAGTCCACACATTTTAAAGTTGCCAAGGTTGAGAAACACTGATACAGGAATGCCACAACATTACTTTGCATCCCTGATTCTTATTATTGGCAGGGCCACCATCAATCAAAATTAATTGCTGTTCCTATGTGGCACTTTTATACCAATTTATTTCACCCAACTTCATAGCTGTAACCTCATTGTGCATTTAGTAAAATGCTCTTAGGTTCTCTTTGTTCATTATTTGTGAAACACTTTTTGTAACTCTGTTCTTCTGGAATTCAATGTAAGTTTGCTTGGACACTTATTTCAGCTTCACAAATCAATCAAAAAGGCATGTTGTCTGATATAAATTAAGAAATATAATTTCTGTAATTTTCCAAAGTGAGTATCCTAGTTTTTCTGTCACCCTGTAGTGACTAAATTACATTGCTGGACTTTTTAATAGAGATCTAAGCAATGATGATTCATGAACTTAAATTTACTTTAGCTGAGCCAGTTTGAGCAGTAAGCAGTAGAGTGCAAGCCAGGACATGTGCAGGATACTGCTAGGGTGAAGCTCACTTATATTGCAAAGTGTGGCTGTTCTCTTGGATTTTCAACTGCTGGTGTTGAAGACACTTTGTTGAAATGTAAGACCATGAAACAAATAATGATTTCAGATTAAATGAAGAGCCATTCAGTGATTTACGTGGTGAACTAGCCAGATCCTTTCTGCAAACTCATAACTGAAAACAGTTCTCCCTTCTCTTACTCTCCCCCTCAAGTCCTGTAATTCATGTGGCCCAATGTATAGAGATTTTATTTGGTAGTCATAAGTAATAAATAGCCATTAACTGATCATATGTTTATATTTTTCATTTCCATTTAAATTAGACATGCATAATGGGTGCAAAAAAGCCATATTCCCCCATCCAAAATTTTTTGGGTTTTACCAGACTCCCTTAAAAAAACCTGCTTAATTGTAATTAATACGTGAGAAAAATGCATGGGAGAAATCACATGAAGAATGGATATTTCATAATAAAATTAAAATGAATTATATTACATCAAATCTAGGTTTTGTCCAGGGCATCCCTACTTTTTCTCTTCCACGCCACTTAATTTTTGTTGTGTACCCCTCCTTTAAACCATTAAAATCAATAATATCATTTGTACAGATTTACCCCGGTAATAGAAATAATCACACGTGCTGCATATATAAAGCAAAATGCAACTCAGCCACAAAAGTGAATGATAGAAATCAAAAGACTATTGTATTCTGCAAGAGAAATATTTCAAGTATTTCAATTCTTTTATAGATTGGGTGGAGAGGCTGCTGTCTAACATAGCATTGGAACTGTAACTTCCAGAATTCTGGGGTCTACATGGTAGTAGTTGATGCTGATCAAAGCATTCTAGATATTGTAGGCTCAATATATTGGCTGCGATAAGAGAAATCAGGCCAGATAAGGGGTAACATTAGCATTTTATGGGCTGCAAATTAAGTTTTAAATAACATGCATAAGATTGCATAAGAAGGATGCTCAGATTAGCCTTGCAAATTGTATTAGATCAGTGGTTCTCAACCTGTGGGTCGGGACCCCATTTGGGGTCGAACAACCATTTCACAAGGGTCGCCAAACAATGCAGTCCGCTATTTTTTCCCCCTTTTCCTTAGCTGTGCTACTCCCTTTTATTCTATTGGCTTTTGAAAGCCAATAGAGTAGACTCTCTTGAATAGAGTCTAATTCTATTGGCTTTCAAAAGCCAATAGGAATTGTCTAGACTGTCTCTGCCCTGCTGAGCCCGCCAAAAGTCCCATTCTGCAAACGGTGCTGCACCAGTTGAGTAGTCCTTGAATTACGACCGGTTGAGTAGTCCTCGACTTATGACAGATTGGGGGTCATGGCATTAAAAAGGTTGAGAACCACTGTATTAGATAAACAAGTTCTGTTATTAATTTAGCAATCATCAATGACTGTTTTACCATTTGCCATTGTATAAGCATGACTCCACTTTGAGCATGTCCGTCCCACTTATCTGTCTTTACAATTCCTTGCTAATCTGCAGTGTTCCTACACTGACCTGCAGATCACAATATTTCATACAGCGGATGAAGATGATAGTAGTAAAGCTTATGCCATAATCCATAACAACAACAAACATTTACCATGATCTTTAGCCAGAAAACATTACATAGAAACAAATTTAGAATTATAGATATGAGTTAAAAGAAAGCATAAAATACAGGAAAACAAGACAACCATAATGTTGATGTAATACAAATACAGTAACAGTGGTGATCACCAAGATTAGCAATAATCTTTAGTGTACACAGATCACAGAGAACAAATATAAGCACAGAATTGGGCAACCTGGGGGAAGATATGTCAGAGTCCTAATTGGTTAAAAGAAGCAACAAATAAGCATTGTTTTTCTGACAGGTTATACCTTTAATAGAGGATAGGTGAATTATCCAAGGTGCCCTATAAAGAAATCAGAAGAAGAGAATGTGGCTCAGGGATTTCATGGAGCTGTCCCATAGCTGCTCTAGAGGGATGTTTTTAAAATGACCCCAAAAGACGACAGTGCCAGCACATCCAGTCTGGCCTAGGTGAAAGTTAGACAAATCCTAATGAAATTTCAGAGTTAGAATGGAAAACATAGGATGATGGCACATGCCCATTTGAAAAAAAAAAAAAAATCCATGGACTGTGGGGTTGATACTAGGCTTACCCTGGTTTGGAAATCAATATTCCAGATACACTGCTTAAGATAATGGGTTGAAATTTAAGGTGCTCAAGGCCTTTTGTTGGTTTTTCTGCAACAAACTACGGTAGTATGGCTATTCCTCTGCAAACTAGATTTATTCTGAATCATAGACAGTATATAATTCTTTATATTTGATTGGATGGTCACCAATGGTCACCAATCAGGTCACATCTGGAAATATCTCAAGTTGCAGTGAGAATTAGTCTTAAGCAATGGCACTAAATATTAAATATTACAATGGCCATTTCTGTTGCATGTGTTATGGCTGCATGTGACTAAGTAACTTAATTTTGCTTTGTATATTTAAAGTTTTTTTTAAAAAAGTATTGTGCTTTGAAAGTTGAGATCCTTGTATCTTTAGCCGGTATTTTACCTTTGTAAAGTAAACAAGCATCTCTGTCATTAAGAAGACACAAATAAATTAAATACATATGTTTCTTTCAATTTCATGGCAATCTCTTTGTTAGATTTCTCAGTTTAATGCTGGTAGTTTCAAGGGATGATTGAATACAAACCTATAACCATTTTTGTATATTTTCTTATGTAAAAAGTTGAAAAAAATCCATTCTGTGGTAACGATATTATCTTGATTTTATGGATATGCAGATAATTAGACTTCTGATTATAGAAATGACATCAAACAGTAGAAATTTTAGAACTTACTAAGCTGAGATATATTTCTACATAAAATGATTAATGCTATAATTTAATTAGAGCTTCAGATTCTGTTTGTTCCATTCAAAATGCCCAGAGGATGTTCTTTGATTTCTCAAACTTCTGCCATATTGCTTGATATGTCAGATTGATTTTGGCAGATTGGGTTCATTACAGATGCTCTTAAAATATATACATATATTAAACAAAATGTTCAAAATTTATATATTGGCCAAATGCACATGGGTGCATGCTTTTTCTTCATTTCTCTACATTAATGCTGGTTTAGTGAATCCAGCTGCTGTTATAATGTTTGCTTCAGGCTTTTTCATGTGCTTTGTTTGGTCTTTTTGAGTATCTCTGTTCCAGTGAGGAAATCTTTTTGTTATTTTTGTTAGCTTTGGGGGTGGGAACCATACCTCTTCTATGGCATTCCTATTCAAGGTGAATGCTGCACAAAGGTCACTTTAAGTATATATTGCTCATTTTTATCTCCTACTTTATCTTAGATATTAGGGAGCATACAGGGAACAACATGCTTAAATATTTGTGAATATGAATCACAAAGACCCACCTAAAATCTTATCACATACCAGGAAATGTAGATGTGATCATATTTAAG